AGGGAAGGGAAGGGAAGGGAAGGGAAGGGAAGGGAAGGGAAGGGAAGGGAAGGGAAGGGAAGGGAAGGGAAGGGAAGGGAAGGGAAGGGAAGGGAAGGGAAGGGAAGGGAAGGGAAGGGAAGGGAAGGGAAGGGAAAGGACAATATAAAGCCCTCCAGGACCAGGTCATGCTCCACATACTGTGCCCTGACCTAGCAATGATGAGTCCACCTGACCCCCTTCTACCAGACCCTCCCCATACCCAGCCCAGGTTCATACCGAGTGTCCCACACTAGTCTGGAGAGTCTTATACCATTCTCAATCCCCATGCATGGCTCCAGTGGCAAACCTTTTGTGCCAGGCCCAGGTGTTGAATTCACCAGATTTTATCCTACACATGCTATATTGAACCTCCAGACTTAGCCTAGGTCACACATCCTGTATGCTAGTCCAGTCTAGCTAATCTCCTGGACTCTATCCCAGCCTGTACTGCATCCAACCTTTAGACCTATCCTGGGATATGTATCTGTGTGCTGCCAAAGCCTGATGAGTCACTATAACCTCAGATGTTCACTTTATCCCCAATCCTCAGGTCAAGCATCAGTCACATAGTTAAAGCCCTGGAAAATTACATATCTAAACCTTCGGTTTAGTTCCACAGCCTCTACGCCAGCCTATGAAAGTGAATACCGCCCACCCATAGAATCCACATATTCCCAGGTAAATCTTGAGTAGTATGGGTTGCACATCAATGAGATCCAGCCATCTGTCTCACTCACATATTTTCTTGTTTAATATAGAATTGGACTCAGTCTAAGAAAAAAAATCAACACTGAGTATCTGAAGGGTCAACCTAACAGTCCCTCACAACTGATCTGAAAACAACCAAGCTTGGGCAAAAGCAAAATAAAACTAATCTCACATCAGACATACAACCAACAACATGCCAAATCTCATCACAAAAACACAAACAGGAAAGGCCAAGACAGTCTGTCAACAAATTGAAGATAAACAAGATCATCAGCACCTGGACTTAACTAAACAAAAGAAAGAAAGAACCCAAATGAATAGAATCAGTAATGATCAGACAAACATTACAACAGAAACCAAGTTCAGAACATTATAAAAGAAAATACTTCTTAAAAGTATTTTTTTTCTTGAGATTATAATACAATGACATCCCTCTTCCTTTTTCTCCCAGCTCCAACCCTCCCATATACCCCTCCTTGCTCTCTTTCAAAATCATGGCCTTCCCCCCATTAATTATTGTTACATATATGTATATTATATGTATACATATATATATATGTGTGTGTATGGACATATATATATTCCTAAATACATAAATAAAACTTTTTCAATGTGTAAGTGTTGCTTATACACATATTTTCAGGTTGACCATTCGGCACTGCATAACGAATTGGTGTGATCTTCCCTGGGGTCCACTATCTCTCCTGCTCTTAGGCTCTTAGTTCTCCTCAGTTTCCTGTAACTCTTTGTGTAAGACTGAGCTTAGCCTTGGGTCTTTCCCCTGTCCATATTAGCAAGTCTATTACTGCCCCTTTCAGCTCAGGTTTAGGCAGTCCTGCTGGAG